TATTCCAAAGCACTGATTTGATTCTCTACTTTATCTATTCTACTGTTGATGCCCTGCAAACTATTCTTCATTTCAGTTAGTATATCCATCATTTCTGACTGGTTCTTTTTTATGGTTTCCATGTCCTTTTTTATGGTGTTGAAGTTCACACTAAGTTCATCTACTGTCTTCCTAAGTTCATGGAGCATCCTTATAAACAGTATTTTGAACTCTGCATCTAGTAGATTGTTTGCCTCCATTTTGTTTAGGTTTTTTGTGTCTACAGTTTTGTTCTGTTCTTTCACTTGGGACATGTTTGTTTGTCTCCTCATTTTGGTTGCTTCCATGTGTTTGTTTCTATGTATTAGGTAAAGCTGCTACCTCTCCATGGCTTGCTAGACTGGCCTAATGTAGTAGGTATCCTATAGGGTCCAGTGGCGCAGCCTCCCCATTCACCCAACCTTGGCATTCCTGGTGTGCCTCTCACCTTCCTGTGGGCTCTGTACACCCTCCTGTTGTAGCTGAGGCTTGATTGCTGTTAGCATGTTAATAAAAGCGATTTACCTCCAGGACAATCAGCTGCAAGGAATGGCTCCAAACACCATGGAGTATCAGCTGTTCCAGGGCCCACCCCACAAAGCAGAACTTACTTTAGCAGGGCTCTGGTGTCCACTGAGTCTGCCCCTTGAGTGTGTTGCTTATGCAGGTTGTTGGTGATGCCTTGATGTGGTATAAAGCTGTCTACTAGTTGTACTGGCTCTGGGGCGTCACTGGAGGTGCAGGCCAAGGTCAGCTGCCACCTGCGTTCTGCCTGGGGCCACCTGGTATGAACGATAGAGTAATCTGAAGATGGCTGCTACTCATGCTGGGCTTGGAGGTGCTCAAGAAAGGCCAAGATGTGATCCAAGGTTGGCTGTTGCTAGTGCCAGGCTTGGGGCCTGTTTGTTAGAGATATGGGGTATGCCAAGGCCAGATGCTGCTGTTTGAGAGATTTTAGGAAAGTCTGAAGCAATAGCCAAGACAGACTATTTGTATGGAGAAACCACTGGAAACAGCTTGAGTGGGCCTAAAATTTGGTTGGCACAGGGTATCAGGGAATCACCAGGGAATGGCAAAAGATACCCAATGGCAGTGTGAGCCTGGCTGATAGAGACTCAGATGTGACACCCACCTGCTGGCTGTGTGTGTGTGTGTGTGGGGGGGGGCTCAGCAAAGGAAAAATGGCTTGTGCCAGCACTTCTGTCTGGGAGAAAATTGTCCCTTCAGTTCACATTCTGATGTTAGATAGTTCAGTTCATCCTTGTATGTCTCTGGTGCCTTTCGAGCTGCTGCCCCAGTGATGGTCCCTGGGCCTCTCAAAGCCCTCCATCTCACTTAGTCTCAATCCCTGCTGGTTTTTACCAATTTTTACCTACCACATTTTGGTGTAGAACCAGTCTATTCTGCTACTCTGCCCCTCCTTGAAGTCTCCATGTGGCTTCTTCTTTAAATCCCTAGTTATAGGACTTGCCACTCAGATTTCAGGCAGTTCTGAATGATGGTAATTCTGTAATTTAGTTGTAATTTTGACGTGATTTTGGGAGAATGTGACCACTGCCTGTTGCAACAATGCCCCGTTATTATTTTTAATGATGTCTTTTACATTAACTGTTCCTTCAGTGAGAGCTGTCTACTACAGAGAGTGGAATTTCCCCTCCCTGTGAGCCTCCTCAGGAAGGGTACCCCCTTTTGTACTGTGTCTGGTCATGCATGGCCCTGAGTAGTGGCAAAGCAGTGAGAGGTGGGAGATCAGCTAGTTTCTGCTCTTTTGGGCCAGGGGTGAGAACTTGCAAACACCAGCCTGCTCTGAAGCCATGGGAGGGGCTATTGGTAGGCTTCTCTGATGTAGGAGAATAACTCTCCCAACCTGAGGGATTTGGAGCTGTACCCCAACTCTCATCCCCAATCAGGTGGCCTCCCTGGACCCTGGAACATGGATATAGCTCTTCCCCAGGGAATTCTTAGTTAATTGAGATCTTGTTTGTGTGTGGTCATTCATTTCTTTTCTTCCTTTTTTTTTCCTGCTGTGCTCCTTGAGGAAACCATGAACTTCTGATCTTTGCTCCAGGCTTCAGGGCTGTTACATAGCTTTGCAGGTTGTTAACTCCACAAGGGTGTGGCTAAGTGGGCTAGAGAGGATAGCCTATGCACCTGTCCCCAGGCCATTGTGCTCTGGGCATCTGCTTGTGCTCTGGGCATCTGTGTCTGCCCCAGCAGGGGCTCCTTCCGATTTTTTGCATGAGGCTTTCTTCTGGCCTAGACAAGTGTCCCTGTGGCTGCATTCCACTGAGAAGGGACCTTTCCTACTCTGAAGCACAATCACACTACAGAGCCCTGAGCACACCCTTCCCTCCTGTGCTGCTGTCCCTTCCCCTCTTCGGGCGCCCAGGACAGCCCAGTTCTGTTCCCAGTGAAAACTGCAGCTTCAGGCAAATCTGTAAATAAAAATGTTAGTTTATTTTCACTTTCCATGCAAACTTTTACTTAATTTATTTTTAAAAAATAGCATGTACAGTGAAAACAAAAGAAGCAGAAAGTCTCAAATCCCATTACCCAGAAGCAATTGCCATTGATAATCCTACACATCTAACCTCTAAGACTTAAAACTATTTTTGAATCAATAATGTCTGTGAAACTGGAAAACACAGCATTCATGCTGCCTGTTACCTACCAGACCTAATAAGCAGAGACAGGGATTAAATCTTTATGGTCACTTTGTTCAGATGGTTGGTAATCCGAGAAGACAGTGGGTTTGGACCCCAACAGACAGTCTTAAGTTTCATTTTAAACGGACTCTTTTTATGAGGAGAACAAAAGTGTAGGTAAAGGCGTTATGATTCCGGAGAAAAGTTAATCAGATAAAAGCTGTAGCAATCTTTATCTGTGTCCTTGGCACTGGGTGTCTCACCCTGGAATACAATGGCTCAGATACTATCTTGATTGCCTGCAGTCCTCCTGAGGCACAAAGGTGAAATTGCTTATGTTTTCCTGGAGTCAGGGTGGGTCATACCTTCAGTTCCTAAAACAACAGCTTTTTATATACATTGATTAGTAAGCTTATTAGCCATTACCTGAATCTAAAATTTTTCCAGGCCCTGGCTGGTGTAGCTCAGTGTATTGAGCCCGGGCCTGCGAACCACACGATCCCGGTTTGATTCCCAGTCAGAGCACATGCCTGGGTTGCAGGCCAGTTCCCAGCAGGGGACTCACAGAGGCAACCACACATTAATATTTCTCTCCTTCCCTTCCTCTCTAAAAATAAATAAATAAATAAAATCTTAAAAATAAACAAATAATAAAAATTTTCCAGTATTTGAGTTCCCCATCATATGCACTTGGAATAAAATGCAAAAGGATGAAATGTATCCATTCTACTCCTCCCACCCAATCCCCTTTTCCAGAGACAAAGCACCATTACCAGAGACATCCTATTTGCTCACATGCGTTTGGGGATTAGATGTGTTTTCCTTCACAGCTGGCTACATTTATCAACATTGTCTGCAGCTGGCTTTTTCCATTCTGTAATATGCCTTAGATATCAATGCAATGCCTTCTTTTCTTTCTTTTACTTTTTTAAAAAAGATTTTAAGCCCTGGCTGGTGTAGCTCAGTGGATTGACCACAGGCCTGTGAACCAGAGGATCACGGTTCAATTCCCAATCATGGCACATGCCTGGGTTGCAGGCCAGTTCCCAGCAGGAAGCGCATGAAAGGCAACCATACGTTGATGTTTCTCTCCCTCTCTCCTTCCCCTCTAAAGATAAATAAATAAAATCTTTAAAAAACCCCAAAAGTTAAAAAATAAAAAAGATTTCATTTATTTATCTTTTAGAGGGGAAGGGAAGGAGAGAGGGAGAGAAATATCAATGTGTGGTTGCCTCTCATGCATTCCCTGCTGGGAACTGGCTTGCAACCCAGGCATGTGCCCTGACTGGGAATTGAACTGTGATCCTTTGGTTCACAGGCCCAGCCAGGGCAGCAATGCCTTATTTTCTAAAAAAAAAAAAAAAAAAATAGTTTTGTGGTGGGGCCCAGGGTGCAGGGGAGAGGCAGGCTGCAACATAGAGATGCCAGCAGCCAGGCAGCTTGGGGCAGCAGGGCACCAGCACGGTGCTGTGGCTGCTGCTGGTGGCCAAGGTGTTACAGGTGGCCACAGGTAACCAGGTTTCTTGGGGATCGGGACAAAGAATTGAACCTAACACACAGAGTTTATAGCAGAGAACATGGGAGCAGGCCAGCTCCAAGCAGAGATTGACCTCATGGGCTGGAGGGATTCTATTCTTATAGGGTGGATCCATTCTGGCTACTTTTGGCAGGCTTTTGTTACATGCGTACAAGTAGTTGTATTGCTTTAAAGCTACTGTGCCTGTGGTCTCCCATGGTTTTCCCTGATTGGCCACCAGAGAAGGGGGTTACACACTGGACCCCTCTGCTTCTCCTGGGGTCCCCTTGTATAGCCTTGCCTGCCACCAGGGAATTATAGCTCTCCATGTTAGAGATTGGTGAAAAGAAGGAATTATTTATTCAAAAATTATACAGACTTAAGAGTAATGACTTAATGTCTTCATTAAAACCCCAAAGTCCCTGAAAACACCTACGAACACACACAGTCCTTCTCTCCCCATTTTGCCTGGTCCGGGGTACCGTGTCTCAGGAAAAGAAATAGAAGTCCTTGGCTCAGGTAGCCCCGGTTCTTCCTAGTAATCAGTGCTCGGCTGGCAGGCCTCCCTCGGTTTCCGGCACCATCAGCTGTGTCACTGGAATCTCCAGTTCTTAATCCAAAACCACGTGGCACCTTCTCATGGCCCACCAACAAGTCCTTGCACCCCCTTCCTCCCCCCAGCGTCTCTCCTGCATTCTCCCAAACTGCTAAAAGAGAGCTCTGCATCGCTGCTACATCTTGTTTTCTGGCTTCCTAAGCTGTGTGACAAAGGGAGACCCAAAGCTACCCCCCCCCCGCCCCCCATGATTCTTTTTGTCCTGGCTGCTGCACCTGGGTTTAAATCCCTGCACCAGTCTTCTTCTGCAGCCCCATTTCTGACTCCTCCCACAATCGGCCACACCTGCTACCTTTTCCAGCGTTTCTGGGCTGCCATTGTAAGTCTGGGCAAGCGTGGCCCTGTGGTGTGGAGCAAGCTCTTATGCAGGCTCTGTAACCAGGGGGAATTGCCTCCCAGTTACATCTTGGGTGGAAGTCATTCCCTTCTCTCTGGCTCAAAGCAAGGCCACAGCTATTTCACATATCTATGAAACCCATCAGAAGTTATAGATACGTTAAATGACCATTCTAGAGGTTAACAAAACTGTTGCTATGCAAGACAAGTCTCAATGGCCCTGCTCCATGTGTCCCATCCCCCAGTTCAGCCTTGTGGGGGTGAGGACATCCCATATTTTTATTATTTCCTGGACACCGTCAGTTCTGGACCCCATTACAAATCCTTCTTTGGGGGGGCCCTGGCTGCACCCTCTTAACAAAGGTGCTCCCCCCATGGCGGCAATCAAGCCCATCAGCATGTCCCTTGCCATCCTTCTACCTAGCCTACCAACACCCGGCCCTGTACTCTCTTTGCCGAGTGCTGTGGCAAGGAGAAGCTGCTCAATGTGTCCTGTACTGCGGGTTGCCTGGAGGGTTGGGAGGGACCCAAGGGACAGGCCTCAGTGGACATTCACATCTGGCACACAGCTCACCCCAGGTGAGGGGAAGGAGAGAGGGCAGATGGGGCCTCTGTTTGGCCACCAGCCCTGGAAGCTGTGCCTTTTGTCTAGCCCTCAAGCTGCAATTGCAGGAGAAACTGTTAGGACAGCATCTGGCCAAAGAAGTGACTCTTCAAGGCGCTGACTGGCTTCAAGAGCAGCCACATGCCCAAGGAACCATGGACTCTTTTCCTACGTGGCTGGGCTGGCACAGGCAAGAATTTTGTTAGCCAAATTGTGGCTGAAAATCTTCATTCAAAAGGCCTAAAGGGTAACTTTCTTCACCTGTTTGTACTAACTGCAGTTTTCTCATGAACACCAGATAAAACTTTTCCAGGACCAGTTACAAAGGTGGATCCAGGGTAATGTGAGTGCCTATGCAAGCTCCGTGTTCATATTTGATGAGATGGATAAGTTGAACCCCGGGATCATGGTGGCCATCAAGCCATTGCTAGACTAATACGAGCAGACTGGAGGCATGTCTTACTGGGAGATGATCTTCATCTTTCTCAGCATGGCAGTGGGGACCTCGTAACCAAGACAGACCTTGAGCTTTGGAGGGCAGGAAGAAAGACAGTCAGCTGAACAACCTGGAACACATGCAGTCTGTTGGAGTCTTCAATAATAAGCACAGTGGCCTGTGGTGCAGCAGACTGATAGAAACCTCAAGATTACTTTAGTCCCTTTCTGCCCCTGAAATACACACATGGGAAGATGTGTATGTGGGCAGAGATGAGGGCCCGCGGTTCTGCCACAGATGAAGATATTATCACCAGAGTGACATAGGAAATAACATTTTACCCTAAAGACAAAAGGCCTGAAGACAAAAGGCTGAAAGCCTGTACAGTTACCACTGAATTTTTATTGACTTCTCATCTGACCAGAAAGTGGCATCTCAGAGCTTAGCAGGCTAAGGCCTTGTTGCCTTTAGGAATCACTTTTGATAGGGGAAATCAAGAATTAAAGATTTTAGCCAGTTGATAGGCTTCAGTGTTATTCTAGAGACTGGAATGCACAACCTGGAGCAATTCAACCTCTGTGCCCCAGAGGGTCTGCAAGGGATAGAGATGGTACCTGAGCAGTTGATAACAGATAAAATAGTAGGAAAATGGCCTCTGCACTATGGTTAACTTTTTTTCCAAACCCCTCACATACCCTTTCTTCTCCTGATAAAAAGGTTGGCTTGCCCTGGCTGGTGTGTCTCAGTGGATTGAGCACTAGCCTGAGAACCAAAAAGTCACCCATTCAATTCCCAGTCAGAGCACATGCCTGGGTTGCAGGTCCTGTCCCCAGTTGGGGGCATGAGAGAGGCAATCAATCAATGTTTTTCCTCCTCTCTTCCTTCCCCTTTCTCTAAAAATAAATAAAATCTTAAAATAAAAAAATAAAAAGGTCGGCCTGAGGTGAGATGTTAAGATGGTTTTTGAGGGTATATAACACACTATCTTTTCAGCTTATTAGAGTGCCCATAAAGATTCAATCCTGTCTCTACTAATTGGTTCTGGTAGTGACAAGCAGCAGGAACACTTTTCTGGTTTCATTTTCTGGCGACTCTGGTGGGACACCTTCAGGACTTCCCAGTAATTCTTGGTATTTGGCATGGAGTCCCTTTGGCTGCCTGGACTTGGCATGGGGGCATGGCTGGGGTGTGGATTTGGAGACTTCTGAAAACAAAAGAAAAATAGAAAAAAGTTAAGGAAAAAGAGAGGGAGTTTTTATTTTATTTTATTTATTTATCTTTAGAAGGGAAGGGAAGGAGAGAAGGAGAAATATCAATGTATGGTTGCTTCTGGTGCATCGTCTGCTGGGAACTGGCCCCTGCTGGGAGCTGACCTGCAACCCAGGCATGTGCCCTGATGGGGAATTGAACCGTGATCTTTTTTGGTTTGCAGGCCCGTGCTCAATCCACTGAGCTACACCAGCCAGGGCCTATTTATATACTTTTATGTGTATGTGTACCATTGTTAAATTTTAGCATTCCTAACCTGGTTTTCAAAATTTAATATATCATGAACATTTTTCTTTGTTACCAAATATGATTGCATCACTGGATTTTTCTCATTATGCTATTTTAAATAATACAGTGATGATCATTATGTATACAGTTTTGGTGTTTTAAATATTTCTTTAGGTCAGAGTATGTGTATTTTAAAAGCTCTTAACATGTATTGAGAATTGCTGTCCGAAAAGGCCGGGTGGGTGTCTGTCTTCCTAGTAGCAGGAGAGGAGTCAAACAAGTCCCCAAACTCTAACCAGGGTTAGTGGCTTATTTTTTGTCACTTTCACTTGAAGGCCATTGGGAGCTACTGACATATCTTTAGTAGACAGGTAACAGACAGTTTTGCATTTTCAATTCCAGCCTAGGGGCCTGATAGCTCTGTTAGCCTCATTTAGCTCCTAGGAGGCATTCAAGACATTGGCAAGCCCCAGAACCAGGAAGAAAGTGTGGGTGAAGAGACACAAGAAGCAGCTCTCTACCCTGCTACTATGGAGACAGAAATTCAGGGCTTCATCTGCAGGCAGAGGAAATACGCAAGGACAATGCACACCAAGATCTTTTCTGTATCAGGCCTTTGATTTATGCTACTCCCTCTGCTTAATGCTTGCTTACTATTTAGTTCTCAGAATAGCTGTGGCTCATCTTTCTTGAGCATTTACTGCACGTCAGACCCTTTGCTATGTGCTTTCAGGCACCATTTCTTCTGAGGTTGGGCACATTATTGTCCCCTTTTTGCATATGAGAGAACTGAGGCAGAGAGAGGTTAAGCACCTTGCCTCTAGTTACTTTGCTGGCAATTCTGGCCTCCTGCCCAGGCTCACCAGTCTGTGGAGCTGCCCTGCCTTAGGTCCCTGGACTATTAGCTGAATTCTGTGAGTAGCCTCTAAGCCTGACCTCTCAGAATGCTTTTGTTTATAAACAATTTTTAAAAACATTATGTTCTTCAGTGTCTGTGTGTTTTTTTAAAATGTCCTGATTTTTCTTCCTATTTCCTTCTTTTTCCAAAAGGTTGAGAGCTGAATATTTGATTATAAGTTCCCTGAGGGCAGGGCCCACATCACACAACTCCGTGTGAAACTGCCCAGCACAGGGATCGGGGCCTGGGTGCCCAGTCAGTCAGCGACCGTGGTTTTAGATAGGGCAGGTTTTCTCTAGATTCAAATCCAATACACAGGCCACAAAGATAAACCAATGGAAATAGGGTTGAATTAATTCAATACAGACTTTTCTTGTGTGTGTGTATGTATTTGGTGAGCTTGCTCTGGAAACCTTTTCAATGGGTTGTATCACACCTGTAAGTGGTTTTAGCATACTTTTACAATAAGCACAGGTTCTGTGCTAGGTGCCTGAAGTACATTGTGTTCTCATGCATAGTGTTTTCCATAAGAACTTGAGAAGCTAGCAGGGGACGTATTATTACCCTTGGGTTTATTTGGTTTGGGGTGTTGTTTTTCTCCCCAGAGGGAGAAGTGAAGTTTAGCCAGCCCATTGGCCTGTGTGGCCTCCCTTTCATTAGGGTCTGCAGCTCTAATAAGCAGAATTCTGGGGGCCACCCCACCCTGGGGTCTCCTTTGGTTCTGGGAAAAGAGCCAGCTGCGGACCAGGGCCAGGGCTTCCTAGTCTTCTTACTCCTTGGATCTGTAAAGGCTTCCAGACTTCAGAGAAAGTGCAGAGAGTTGATTCTCATGTAGCGGGAGAAGAGCACGTAGAGCCGGCGGAACCAGAGGAGCTGGCTGCGGTGGCAGGACATGGCTCTCTGGAAGAGTCAGAGAACCAGCTGTGAAACACTTGCACTGGAGCAGTTTCTGCTGTTTGCAGTTTTGTCTTTCTCTTAGTAACACACCTCGTGCAGTAGCCAGCCTTATCTGGCTTCTTCCTATGACCCGCAAAACTCTATGGACTGGCCTCCAACCCCTGCTTCCCCTCTCCCACCTCTATTTACTCCCCTGTGATAACAGCAGATGGTGCTACTGGCTGCTAGAGTGCTCAGTCTCCCAGCATTATTTCAATTTAACAACCCAGTGAGTTAAGTACCATTATTATTGCTTAAAAAAATAGACAAGGGAACTCATCAATTTCAAATAGCTAGTAGTAGTAGGTAGAGGAGCTGCCATTTGAACCTAGAGCCATCTGACATTTGAATCCAGAGCCACCTTCTTTCTTGATCACTTTGCTTCAATACTTCACATATATAACACATTCAGGGATATTTTATGGGAAGCAAGCTAAAATACCATCCTCTGAATTCCGTAGGTACTGAAGGTACAAATTGCTGTTAGAGAGAACAATGATGCATGTAGGTATAGACTCTCTTTACCACCTAGTGAAAGAAACGTTTATTATCTTGTTATTCAGATGTGCTGTGGGTTCAGTTTTTAAACAGAATAGATCACAGCAACTGATTTAATTACATGTACACATATATGAGTATAAATGGTTCCTGCCTATTTTTTTCTAAGTACCAAAACGAATCTTCCTCTCTAAGTCGATATCATTACAAACCTGTGTCTGGAGAACTCATTTTATATCTACTGTCAGAACACACATGGCTTTAAATATGTAAGTAAGTACAACTGTAATAACCATATGCTGTAAACGGTAAAGGAACAATCACCACAGGATATATTCACACAAAATGTTATACAGCATTGTTTTAACAGGAAATTCAACTACATTTTTAAAATAAAAGTTATTTGCAGAAACAAATGGATGAACTCACAGGAAAATGTTAAAACAATTTTTTTTAAAGATTTTACTTATTTATCTTTAGAGAGGAAGGGAAGGAGACAGGGAGAGAAATATCAATGTATGGTTGCCTCTCATGTGTCCCCTGCTGGGAACTGGCCTGCAACCCAGGCATATGCCCTGACTGAGAATCGAACCGCGATACCTTGGTTCGCAGGCCCGCGCTCAATCCCCCGAGCTACACCAGCCAGGGTGAAAATGTTAAAATTTTGAAGACCATAGTAAAAATAAAATATTCATTGTAGAAAAAACTTGAGCAAAGGGATGAGGTTTAAAAATACTGTTTTTATTTTTTTTGTCTATAATAGTTTCCAAGCTACAAGAATTTCCACATCATGCTGCCCAAGTGTTGGATCCCCTCAATCTTTCAATGACTTTTCAGCATCCATTCAATAAGATGGGAACTTACAGGAATTATATATTTATTGCCAATTTGGTTTTTTACAAACTTAATTTTTCTATTGCTTTTTAAAAAAAGATTTTATTTATTTATCTTTAGAGGGGAAGGGAAGGAGAGAGGGAGAGAAATATCAATGTATGGTTGCCTCTCGTGTGTCCCCTGCAGGGAACCGGCCTGCAACCCAGGCATGAGCCCTGACTGGGAATCAAACCGAGATTGGTTCGCAGGCCCACGCTCACCACATTTTCTTTATCCATGCATCTATCGTGGGTATTTGGGTGGCATCCACCTGACAGCTACTATGATGAATCAATAATTTATGCTTCCTGTTCCAAACACACAGCGATAAAAGAGAAAAGTGCAAAGAGAATACAAAAAAGATAAGGCTGCATCAAAACTAAGACCAACAGCACCATGGACACAAGGAACACACACAGGAGCCAAAGCAGAGGGCTGGCTGGTCGAGGGCCCAGGAGCACCATGGTGGCTGAGAATTCTGTTCCTGAAGGGCCCTCACTGAAGGGACTCTGGGACAGGGAGCTCAGGCATGCTGCTTGGAGCCAGGACTAATGGCTCCCTCATCTGTGAAAAGGGGCTGGCAAAAAACATGTTGCCAGTTATGCAGCTCATAGCAAGTTGAATGTCTTGAAATCAGCACCAAACCAACTTACCTGTTAGCTCTATACCTGGAACTGCCGTTAGAGGACCTGATTCTGACCATTAAGCATCTGCAAACTCTACACAGGGAAGGGGAGCACTTAGGAAGAGGGGGACATAATACCTTAACTCATCAATAAAAACACCTTCCTCCAAGTTGGCAAATCAGAATTCCTGAAGACAGGAATAATATTTATGCAAAGAAAGAAATCTAATGAAATCAGCACTCAGAGCATGAATATATCTAGATAAAAATAATTTTATAGGGAGTTCCAACCAAGATGGAGGCCAGGCAGAAACCCTTTGCTTCCTTGCACAACCAAAAAAAGGATAACAACTAATCTAAAATCAATAAAAACCCAAAAGTGCCAGAAAATCAAACTGCATGGAACTCTAACAAACGAAGAATTAAAGAAAAAAAATCAACTAGAACAACCAGACCAGTAAGATCACTGACCTTGAGGGCCAACTCAGAAAAACCACTGCGATGCAGAAGCCTTGGGGGCAGGGTGGGCTGGAAGGGACAGGCTGACTTAAGGGGAAAAGTGAGACTCAGCGCTGACCGTGGGCTATAGTTAGGGTTGCCAGGGTTGCCTTGGTGGGAGATACTCCCAGTCTCACATGAGAGTTCATTGAAAAGTGTGCCAGAGACAAAAAACGAACCGCACTGTTCCCTCTCTGGCCCTTTCTCCACAGGCAATGCCACAGTGAAGCAAAGAGGGTTGCCTTGCCCGGGTGAATACTTAAGGCCCCACCCCCTTACAGCCTATCAGCTTTGTCAACACAAAGAAATATGGCCCAAATGAAAGAACAGAGCATAACCTCTGAGAGAGAACTAAACGATGAGGACATAGACAACCTATCTGATGGAGAATTTAGAGCCCTGGTAATCAAAATGTTCACAGACCTCACTGAGCTTGGATGAAAAATGAAAAAATAAATGAAGGCTATCCAAAGTGAAATAAAGCAAAATATTCAGGGAACCAACAGTGACAGGATGGAAACCAGGACTCAAAGCAACAATTTGGAACAAAGGAAAGAAGTAAACATCCACCCAGAAGAAAGAAACAAGAATTCAAAAAAATGAAGAGAGGCTTAGGAACCTCTGGGACAGCTTGAAACATTCCAACATCTGAATTATAGAAGTGCCAGAAGGAGAAGAAAAACAGCAGATTCAAATCCAATACACAGGCCACAAAGATAAACCAATGAAAATACGGTTGAATTAATTCAATACAGACTTTTCATTTCAGAAGAAATTGAAAACTTATTTGGACAAATAATGAAGAAAAACTTCCTCAATCTGGCGAAGGAAATAGACTTTCAGGAAGTCCAGGGAGCCGAGAGTCCCAAAGAAGTTGGACCCAAAGAGGAACACACCAAGGTACATCAGCATTAAGTTACCCAAGATTAAATATACGGAGAGAATCCTGAAAGAAGCAAGAGAAAAGGAGTTACCTGCAAAGGAGTTCCCATAAGGCTATCAGCTCATTTCTCAAAAGAAACCTTGCAGGCAAGAAGGGGCTGGAAAGAAGTATTTAAAGTCATGAAAGGCAAGGACCTAAAGAATACTCTATCCAGCAAAGCCTTTTCATTTAGAATGGAAGGGCAAATAAAGTGCTTCTCTGATAAGGTCAAGTTAAAGGAGTTCATCATCACCAAGCCACTGTTATATGAAATGTTAAAGGAACTTATCTAAGAAAAAGAAGATAAAATATGAACAGTAAAATGACAACAAACTTACAACTATCAACAAATGAACCTAAAAGAAAAGAAAAACAACGAAAACCAAAACTAAGCAAACAACTAGAACAGGAACAGAATCAGAGAAATGGAAATCACATGGAGGGATCTCAGTGGGAAGGGGGAAGAGAGGAATAAGGGGAAAAAGGTACAGGGAAGAAGAAGCATTATTAGTAGGCATAAAATAGATGGGGAGAGATAAAAATGGTATAGGAAACAGAGGGCTTAAAGAACTTATATGTACAACCCATGCACATGAACTAAGGGTGGGGAAGAATGCTGGAGGGTTGGGGAGGCAGGGTGGAGGGGGTATAAAGGGGGAAAAATTGGAAAAACTGTAATAGCATAATCAATAAAAATACTTAACAAATAATAATTTTATATATAGTTTGTCAGAAACTAAAATAACTATATTTAGGACATTCAAAGAGCTAAACAGAAGAATAACAACTTTAAAGAATAAGAAATTTTGAAATAAAAAGCAGGAAGTGAAACAATAGGTGGCCATAAAATAAAAAAATAGAAATCTCAAAAATGAAAATGATATATGAAATAGAGAAAAAAATTGAGAGAACAATTACGAGACACAATGCATAGAAAAGAGGCCCCACTATGCATGTATTTCATAGGAGTCTATGAAAAGAATGGAGAACTTCCTGCAAGGAATATTTAAAGAGATAATAGTTAAGGATTTTTCAGAATTGCTAAAACACAAGTACCCTTAGTTTGACAGTACTGAGGCAAATAAATATAAACAAGTTCACCCAGACTATTAAAAGACTGCAGAACCCAGAAATACATGGATAATCTTAAAAACTACCATAAAAGAGATTAACTGCACATGAAAAATATTATACTGACCATAGGCTCCTTGTCAGCAATAGATGCTACCAAAACATAAGGGAGTTACATCCTAACACACACTGGGAGGAAAATAAACAAACTTTTATTTTTAGCAAACTCTACCAAAAGGTAGGACATGCAAACATTTAAAGGCTATGAGAATTTGCCTTCTTTAGACCCTCACTAAAGAATTGTTAGGTGACTCCTGGCCAAGATGGAGGTGTAGGTGGAAACACTGTACCTCCTCACACAACCAACATTAAAGACAACAAAGATTTAGAAACAAAAACATAACCAGAACAGACAGAAAATTGTACAGAAGTCCGACAACCATTCAACTAGATCAGTACGAGGGGTGGAGTCAGTGG